ACACACACACACACACACACGCACACACAATATCGTATCGTTCTCGGCATCAGACATGAACAGTCTGTATTTGCGACATGTGAATGAAGAACACACAGCTGACTGTTGGAAACTTTCATGTGGACAAGAATGTTGATGGTTTAGGAGGCTGGCTGTTGACTTGCTTGTTGTGTCTACCTGTCTTGACCTCTACCTATATCATAGACAGACAGACAGACAGACAGACAGACAGACAGACAGACAGACAGACAGACAGACAGACAGACAGACAGACAGATAAATAGATAGATAGATAGATAACATTTACGTCATGTGTAATCCTTATAACATCATCTTCCCTTTCGCTTTAAGAGCCCCCAGTTCCTCACCTTACTGCTGTGGTAAGACTCGCTATCGCTGTATGTCCCGTCCGCTCTCTTGCGTCGTCTTCGAACGCGTTTCGTTCCTGTAGATTATAATATCCACGAATCAGTGATACGAGTTGCAAGATCTGCGATAGTAATTTTTGGAGTATAATTTTAAATTTTGTAAAACAAGTGTTTCCTGAGTAATCATAAAGGGTGGGGAAATAAGGGGGGGGGGGCAATTAAAAGGGATTATTTTATTTTATTTCATAACTGCCTGGCTTTTAACTTGTTAATGGTGAATTCACCAAAAGAGTAGTAAACACTATGTGGGGATATTGTTTTGCTTCGCCTCTGTCCGCGTGTTGTCTCGTCCGCCTAGAAGTGCTCGTAAGTCTTTCTTTCTGACACACTATTTGCGATAAGATTAGACGATAACAGAAATAAATAACAAATAAGCAAATTACTTTTGTATAGTGAACATTTCCGCTCAACAGTAAGCTCTGTGCGCTTTACAATCTGACCTAACAGCTTTCTAAAACAAAGTCAAATTCTTGGGAAGCGTATTGTGCAAGTTGCCATTTTGCTGTGGCTAAAGCAGTATTCAATAACACTTTAACCTACATTCTTTAGTTTTACAATGTGTCATTGTATGTGTGAAGCATGGCAAAATGAAGAAGAAATATGATTTTATCTCAACTTAAGTTTTGAAGTTTTTTAAATTGCTGACAGATTTTATTTTACCCAAAGAACAGTTATAGGGGCTTCAAGAAAAATAGAACAAGAAAAATGGGAATTGTTTAATCTGTGATGATGATGATGATGATGATGATGATGATGATGATGATGATGATGATGATGATGCTGATGCTGATGCTGATGATGATGATGATGATGATGATGATGAATTTTTATTTTTGTTTCCTTAATGGGCCTGGCGGACTCCACGTAGAAATCTTCGAGCGAGAGCGAGGCTCTTTTTCGGCTCCATTGTCAATATGCTAAGCGGTACCTCCACTCGTCCAAATAACTCCCTTCGAATTGCCATCGTTCCTGGACACTCAAACAGATGTTTGACATCCTCCTTTTCATGGCTACATCTTCGGCAACAAGGGCTGAGCTCTTCATTTACAACATACCATCTTAAGCTCCAATGATGGTCCGACCGCAGTCTCACTAGCTCAACCTGGTCCCAGCGACAAGTGATATTTTGTTCCCGCTTATAGGAGTACCCAGAATACACATCTTCCAGGTGCTGGTACTTAGCTCTGCATGGTGGGTCTCTGATTTCCCTCTTGATCATTGGAAAGACTCCTCTGTATGATGATGATGATGATGATGCTAATGATGATAATGATGATGATGATGATGATGATGATGATGATGATGATGATGATGATGATGATAATAATAGCATTTATATAGCGCATATCCATGCTCAAGAGCTTGCTCTATGCGCTTTACAACTATTATTACCCCAGCAGACCCTCTGAGAACACCCAGAAACATTCTCAGCTTCCGCAGAAGCATACAGTGCAAGCTGCGGATTTCATGCGCTCAAACACTATCAAACTGACAAGATCTTTCACCGTCTATAATGGTCTATGATGATGATGATGATGATGATGATGATGATGATGATGATGATGATGATGATGATGATGATGATGATGATGATGATGATGATAATGATGGTGGTGGGGGTGGTAACGATGATGGTAACGATGATGGTGCTGTAATGTTGGAAACGTCTTGGTATTCATTTATTTTTTTTGTTTGGCGCTTACTCTAGTGTTCTCGTGCTTTTACTTTAAAGTTGGCGGCAATCTGTTCAACTGTTTTAAGCCCAGAAAGAATCCTTTTTTTAGTAAAGATAAAAAATAAAATTATGTTAATAATACTGTAATTGTTCCTACATTGTGTATCTTTTCTAGCTTACTTTTTTAAAGAAATAAGCATTAGAATTTCGACAAAACATTTTTCAAACTCTTGCAACGAATACGACACATTTAAAAAATGAAATACTTCAAATAAAAATTCGAGCCTTGGGCTTAGTACATCTCAACAGCTAGCTCAATGATTTCTGTTTTCACTATGGATCCAGCAAAGTCGTTGACTCCATAACTGCATTGCCCATTGAGCTTTCAGAAGCAGGCTGCATTGACCCTGTAATCTGGTTTTATTTAGTCCCTTCTGTCCAAACTAACAAACTCACAAAATGAAAAAAAAACCAAAATAGCAAACATCCAAACCCACAATAACCTGAACCAACGAAAAACACACTCAAAATCAATATCAAAATGGACTGGGAAAAAAAGACTCACCCCCAGCGCTGTAAACACTCTTGTAGCTGTAGTCACTGTCACTGTCTTTATCTCTCTTTCCCTTCTTTCTCCGGGCCCTCTCCTCTGCTGTCTCCTCCTCCTCCCCTCCCTTCCCTCCTTTCCCTCCCTTGCCTTTCCGCCTCCCGTGTTTGTCAAACATGGACCCCAGTCCACTATCAGCATCAGAAGTATGGCCGACTTTTCTGAAAGAAAACGAAAAACGTCAACGTCAGCTTTTCGCGAAATTCTGCTTTTTCGTGCTTAGACTTAGAGAGAGAGAGAGAGAGAGAGAGAGAGA